AAGGCAATGTCTCGTCTCACCAACTGGAGAATACGGTCCGAGAAGAGGCGCGTGATGGTGTCGCGCATCAATATGTTTACCTTGAGCTCGTCGGCATCCGCCACACTGATGGGGCCACGGCATATAGGGCACTTGCGGTTGCCGCAGGAGAGGACGCCCTCCAGGGCCCGCTTGCTGAAGGTGTGCCCGCAGACCAGCGTCACGGGCTCGTACAGCAAATCGTCTGTCAGGGGGCACTTGTACGAAATAAAGAGCGAGTCCTCCCGGTCCACGGAGTCCCGGTGTTGCCGGATTTGCTGCTGCTGCATCATTCTTAGCAAGTAATTCACCTCCCGCCCGAGGCCGTGCGCGATCGCCGATTTCATTTTTTTCTTGACCGCCATGGACAAGCGGCCCTGACGTTGAAGGCTGCTCACCTGTACCAAAATCAGGGCATTTTCCATCCAGGCCTTTCGGCGAGCTGCCTCATCGCCCGGAGCCCGCTGTGTGGACTGCAGGAGCTGCCACGTGGAGTCAATGCTCAGGCGACGGAGGATTGAAGACGTGACCACAGCCTCTGCACTCTCTGGGTCAAGCGGTTGTCGAGGGTGCTGGTGCTGCTGTCTATGTCGCTGGTCATCGCCACCTTCCTCCCTTTGATCGCCTTCTGCTCCCTCGCTGTTGAGGTGAGGAGCCGAGACTTCCTCCCGCAAAAGAAGCTTGATACCCTCCACAAAGTCCCCCTCCGCTTTGGCCTGCGCCCAATTGATTTCATTGTCTGTCCACCCCAGATTCACAGCAGCTCTTCGCAACTCGTTCACGCAGCGAACGCCAGCGACCGTCGATGCGCCTTGCAGATCTTCAAATCCGCTGGGACCGCCGGCAGAAGACAGGTTGTTTCGCAGCGTGCGAGCCTTGATGAGGAGTTTCCAAGCGGCTGTGTCCTTGTTCTTCATAGCCATATTGATTGCCTTTTCTAGATCCTTATCGCCATCGTACGGTAAAGCACTGCACGGCGGGACAAGATTACAGGGCGTGTCAACTGGCGGCACGTCTGTCAAAGGAGAATTGTCGGTGTCATGCTCCCGCGTGGAAACAACTCCACGCGCCATTGGGGGATATGATTGACTATGTCGGTCCCCAGGTGCTTCCAGGGGAGGCTGAATAGCGAAATGCTGAAGTTCAGAGGTGATAGACGGCAAGGCATCCGGGTTGAGAGCGGAGTCGTCTGGGGGAGGTGCCGTTCTTGAAGGGCTCACGCTCGCATCGAGTTCCATGTTCCAATGTCAGCGAATCTCTAGTTGAAAAGCAAGAGGAGTCAATTCTCTACTGTCCAGCTGAATGGGGTTGTTTGAAAAAGGTGAGTTTGCTTTTCGACAGCGTCAACTCAAGACAGCTATCCCTATCCGACATCAAGCAGGGTGATGTCACGGCACAAGCTTCACTAGACGCGCTTTATTCGTCCGTTGAAACGTCTTTCGTTAAAGAAAGAGGTAGTCCACAGAAACTCACGAGTCATCCTCGAGCAATCGCAAAATCCCGCCCATGATTCAATACCGATGTGTACGATTTACGTGGCGGGTTTGGCTTCCGCCATGTCGTCACGCCCGAGGTCTCGCTGCCGGGTGTTCTCCTTGCCGGGGGGGCAGAACGCACGCCTGCGCCTACAAAAGAGCACACCGGTTGAACGAAACATTGGCTTCCAAGCGATCGAGTTGCATATGCAACCATCTATCGGCACTGTGAGCGTGCATCGCGGTTTTGCGGTGCTGTGCGCAGGAGTCAGTGATTGAAAGCTCTCATAAAGCGTCGCTCACGCGCTTGGACTGATCTGCTTCCCATTCCGCCCGTATCAATTCATTAGTCGCCCTTATGCACCGCGGGTGCCGTGAGCGAGGGCATGTGGATGAGTGACCAGCTAGTTTCAAAAACAAAGCGTCTTGCTGGTCAGGCTTGATGCGGGACAGGATGTCGCTGGTGACCATTGCCTTCATCTTTTTTCTTTCACTTGCGGGTCATGATTTCCCCCGTCACGTTTACATCACGACGCTCGTATGCAACAGATTTAGTGCACGCAAATGCCAAGGCCTTTACATTTTTTGGGTTGCCAAAGTGATTTGTTGCCGGGCGCAGCATAGAGAAAAGTCATGCGTGAAAAACAAGAATAAGGAGCCAAACTCCCTCCTCGCGGCCTGAATCGAGAGCACCAACGTGGGTTCCGTGAAGATCTTTTTTCTTCACAACGGGGCAGCCATGATGGAGGACAATGAGCATGCGATGCTTATCGAATCAGGTAGACTCGGAGGTCTGAAAAATAAAAATTTAAATCTTGTATCGCTTGTTTTCTTGCTCGATGCCGACTTCTTCTCTGTCAAATCTATTAGGTCATGCCTCGCCTGGACCGCAAAAGACCACAAGGACTTCGTCAACATGCACTCAATCTTCTCCCTGCCAAGCCATGATTGCATCACGTAAAGCTAGACTTGTCGTCATGCTCTGCTGGGTGCTGACCGTGACAAGTGCCGCCCTGTCTTTCTTGCGGGGCAAGCAACTGCCCGTGAGGCTCTTGAAAGAGTCCAGAGTAACGTGCCACGGGAATTCCACCGAAACCCGGCAATGCGTTTTTCGCGATGTGATTGTAGAGAATGGCGTCATTTGGCTCTATAAGACGCATCCTGACTCAGGGATTCCGCGGGTTCTGTGCTCCCAGGTCAATCAACCCTCCTCTTTCGCCCGCGAATGCGAGATTCGCATCGTTTCTGACGGGCGGAAGTACGCGCACTTGTTGCGGAAGACTTCAAATTCATTACTACTGGATGTGGGCGTGGCATTGAGCCGTCTAAACCCCAGCAACGTCTACCACGCGATATTCGAGGACCTGATCCCGACGATCGCCATGATGCGGAAGGTGGGAAATGTCTCGGTGGACCCCACAGCCATGTCCGACGCCTTGCGGCAGCGGCGCTGGGGAGTTTTTATAACCGACAACGAGGGCGATAGCCTGTTGGACGGAGAAATCTGGCGACAGATACTGCCCGAGGTGGCGATGGTGCATCCGTTAGGTCGGGCGCATCGCGTGCGAAAACTTATCGCAGGCACGCAAGTCTCATGCGCGCATTGGGGGCACTGCCAGCCGACGGATCGTCCCAGTGGTCTTTTCAACCCACCCGATGCGGCCCTGTCTTTCCGACGGTTTGTGTTCCATCGCTTTGGCATCGAGGAAGGAGTAGAGGAAACAGCACACGCCAGTACGAGCACTATCGGTCTGGGGGTCCCCAGAGTAACCCTGGTGCAGCGCTCGAGCACGCGGCGGCTCCAAAATTTGGGGGAGATAGTGGAAGCTTTGACGGCCGTATCGGGCGCCTCTCCCAGGGTGGTGGACATGTCAAACCTCTCGGTGAGGGAACAGGTGGGGCTAGCCCACGACACGGACATCTACGTGCTGGTCCATGGCGGGGCCCTGGCCAACCTCCTCTGGCTACCAGAGGGCGCAATGATCGTCGACATATATCCGTACGGCTTTTACATATCGCACCACAGCGGCATCGTTCACTGGATCCGGAAGGCCTTGGAGCCCGGCCTTGGTCTGGGACATCATCCCTTCCAAGTCAATTCCTCGGAGGGTCAGGTGCTTTTGGACGGCCCTCTGCCGGCTGGCTGTGTCTGTCGGTCCCTGGAATGCCAGATTCACCTTTTCGCCACCGTTGCCTCCATCACGGTGGCAGTGGATGCTTTCAAGAACCACATGAAGGACGCTCTCCGGCTGTGGCGGATCAAGAGGAAGTACGCAGCAGCCACGACGCCAGCGGAATTTATGAAACTGCAGGCACAGATAGTCGAGACCAGGACTATGGCACGTGATCCAGCCCCTCTCTGCGCGAGGTGAGGCATAGGATACGCCTGGAGGCGCATTGTTTATTCAATACATGAGTGTTAATAAATTCAAAACAGAAGCAAAAGACATTCTTTGTGTTCTGAGTACTTGTACTTTTTTATACCAGTCTTCGTTAACGCGCGTGTGAACCCAAAAAATTATCGTCATCACCAGTCTTAAATTTCGTATTGGTGTCTTTTTGTGATTTTATACACAAGAATACATTGGCTCATCCCTGACGGCTTACACTAGTCAAAAGGACAGCCGTCTCGCTCTCCCGCGGACCCCTTTATAAAGTGGTAGGGTCGTCGCTCGAAGAAACCGTACTCATAAAAATGTCTCTCAGCATCCGCCTCCTTGACTGCACCCTTTAAGTCCGGGTTTTGTGTGAAGTAGAACTCGGCGTCAAAGGTGGCCTGACACCGAAGCACTAGCTCCCGCAAAGCCTCTTTTTCTTCCTTCAGGGCCGTCTGCAGGCGCGGAGACATGAAGTCATTACTAACAAGGTCGTCCCGGTCCATGTAGTACTCCGTATAGCGCCGTAGGAAGGCCTGTGTGGCGGCCACTCGGGGGAACTCCTTCGCCTTGACGAAGACCACCTCAAAGGGGTCCAACCCCAGTCCGTCATTCATGTGCTCGCCTTGCGGATTCATGCCTGCATTGCAATACAAGTCGCGTTTTTGACGCCAATCTACTCCCGTATAGCGCGTCATGAGACTGTCCACGTTGTACCTAATATGCAGAGGGGTTCACATCCGAGTCCGTGAACGTCACTTAAATTGTATCATGTCGTGGTTTGAGGGCGCAATCCAAAACAGTCTAGCCCTGGAAAGTCCAGAGCCCTCTCATCTCTTTCCCTCCCTATCAACCTACCCGGCATTTAAAATCGCTGTGGAAGCCCCCATCTCGTAAGTCCGAATGGCGTCACTCAGGGTGCTGGCACAGTTTAGCACGCCGTCACCGAGCAGCACTTTCAACCCGATACGATCTGTGGCAAGGACCATCGATTGCACGTGCACCTGCCCCATGCAGCTCAGGGTGGTGCCAGCTAGCTTGACCTCATCATTGAGCAAGCTTGTCAGAGGAGAGGTCCAAGAACGTCGACGCGGCTCAGCGTGCCCCTCCTCCCCCTTCATCCTCTGGAAATAGCGCGGCAAGAAGGGCCCACGGACAGAGCTGTTCATCAGCACATAGTAAAAATATGATTCGGCCAGGTGCGGGTGAGTCCGGAGCACCTCTCCCACGGTGCCTCCGTCGTAGCACGTGTTTGCTCGTTGAAGCACCCACACGCGTCCCTCCCTTTGAGCCAATGTCGAGGCCAATAACCCACGAAGAGGAAGATCACTATTTCCATTTACAACCAGAAGGTAGTCTGTTGAGTTGTTGTCATTATCTTGCATCGCTACTCTTATGAAGAACCGCAAATTTTCCCGGTACCATTCTTGCGATTCGTGGTATACATATATTACCAGAGTTCGAGGTTCGTCTAGTGATTTGGCAAATTTCATTTCCATTCCATGTGATACAGTTTGAATATCGCTGACATTTTGGCCGGAAACCTCACTGTTGCCGCGGAGCATTGCGGCAATCCTTGAGTTGTCCTGGCGCACAGGAAGGCCTGGCTGCGACAATGATAAACCCTCGTATTTAGGGAATGAGGAGGGCCCGAAAGAAGGTAATTGTCCAGACAAGAAAGTTGATGATGATGCTGATGGTTGGAAAAAAAAATATACCGTCGGAGTCACAAACGCGAGGGCTACCAGTAGAGACGCAGGAAGAGGTCTAAGTGTGCGCGACTGCCCGCCATCGCGATAGGCTCTGGACCAAAAGGATTGTGGCATTGCTGTTATTGGGATTAGATTGCATCGTGTTTTTTAAAGAACATATATTGATCGATACGACGCTTTTTAAAAAATGTCGAAGTTCAGGTATGAAAATCCCCTCTCGCGGGGGGCTTTGCCGTGATGATGACGGCCTCGCTCGCCATATTGGTGTGATGGGAGACGTACCCTCGTCTATCAAGCCAAGCAGGGTTAATTGTTACGCGACCTTGGTATCCCGACTGCAACGTTAATGAACCGCCATGGAGGCAAGGCTTCAAGAAAAGACAAAGAAATTGTTCAGCGAAGTGGATCATAATTCGGCCGTACTTTGTGCCAAAAGCCTTAAAAATGGCTATCGATAAGTTCGTAAGCACTCCTTTACAAATGTCATTTTACGCTGCTTCATGTTGGTATATTAGTAAAATTTTTAGTTATGCTCTGATTGTATTAGTCACATGAACGACATGCTTATCCAAGTCCCCGTAAAGCATCCCCTATCCCAAGGGACTAGTGGCAAGGGGTAACGAAGAACACGAATAGCAATAAAGATTTTGATAACTGAGACGTTCCACATTACTTGTGTGCGTGCGTTTTCTTAGCTCAGTAGGTAGAGCACACGGCTGTTAGCAGCAGCTCTGTTCACCGTGAGGTCAGAGGTTCGATGCGGGTTCGAGTCCAGGACTATCCTTGATTTCACCGCAGGCCACATCCCTCTAGAAAACGTCGCCGTTTTTTTCATGCCGATCAGAGAACGTTTCATCTCATCTGGTTCATGCCTGTGTCTGGGTGTGTGAAAACACCATCACTCTCGATCAGCGTCGCATATTCTACACGCCCAACAGATGTTCTTGTTCCAAAGAAGCTACTTTCGTTCTTTCTCTTTCGAGCTCGCCATGCACACACGTTCATGCATGCAGCTATGCCGTCGAACCCCGCGCAATGTATTTTTGCAGCATTTTCTTCAAAATTTAAATCCACTCTTCCATCTCGTAGCATTTGATAATCCGATCGTCGCTTATCAAAACATGTTTTTGGCCGTCTCTCAACGCGCACGTCGTACTATCCTAATCGACCTCAATTGTGAAAAAACATTAATTTGTGCACCAATGCCGTCGTCGCCCCCAATTCTAACCCTCGGTGGACAAACCAATAGTCGTTGTCGTGAGTTTCTTGTGGGCCTGCGTCTGGGGGTAACGACGCGATGAACCCCCCTGTCTTCATGACGACGGCCTTGGAGGCCAGGACCCCGCCGAGGTCGACCTCGCCCCATCGCCAGTCCGCGACCACCACGCGCTCCCCGTGATCGATAAAATCTGTCGTAACCAGGTCCGCTTGAGGAGAGAGTGCGTGCAGGAGGAAGTCGGGGTGGTAGCTGTTGTCCGAATTGGTCACGAGAACGTGTGTGCACCAGGCGCAGCCTCGCAAGACATCCAGCATCCCCACGTCGGTGGCTTGGTAGTAAGCGTGGTTATCATAGTCGCAGTGTAGACGCACGTAGTAGTCGCCACCCTTGGAGTAGTATTCAGCCTCGTCCGCGGCACTGCACCGATAGGGCGCAGAGCGGTTCGCAGCCAGGGCATAGAAGGAGCCTGTGGTGTCCGCTACAAAGACGTCGGGGGCGGGAGGTGAGACCGAGAGAGAGTCGCTGCTCCTGAGGGGGTCAATGTCCCGGACGCGGCGCCACTCCGCCTCTGCAATCCGATGCACCACGGGCAGCCCCTGCTCTTCCGTGGCCACCAGGGCGAAGTCCACCGTGAATTCAGGGGAACCCGGCTGGCTCTGAGCGGCCTGGGGCTGAGCACGCATGGCCCATATGAGCGAATGGGTGGCTGCCTCTTGCAGGTGGTGGACCCGGATGATGACGCGCACGTGGTATTCTCCAACCCGGTGAGGAGGTCGGCCAACACCCAGCCAGGCCGCAGGTTCTGGGGCCAACGTGTCTTCTCTCGTGCTGCTCGGAAAACGATCATGATGGAATATGCCGCTCTCGCGTGCGGGGGCAGTGCCCGTTGGGAATGGAAGCGTGGGCATTGGCGGGGACGTGGAGTATGACTGGCGCACCTCACAGTGCTGACAGTCGCAAGGCAATGGTAACACTCGGTGTGGTGGCAGCTGGGAGGAGTCTGCCGCCACTCTATATGCTTGTGTGACGCTTCGTAGTCTTGATCTGGCTGGTGCGTGCTCGCGCGAGGACTCATAATGCCTCTTTGGGGAGGCTAGGGCCCGTGCCTTCGAAGCAGCTCGGCTTCTGCTACTGCTTCTCTTGCCCGACCATCCGTCGTGTCGAGCAATGAGAGCGACAGCCACGAGCAAAAGCGCCGTGTACGCCATTATTCCTACCCGCCGCCGCATCCAGGCCTTAGCTGGCTGTAGCACATGCAGGTGCACCGTCGTTTGCCGTTGGGGCATGATGCCAGAGGTCACTCCTACCTGAACCCGCTCTGTTGCACGCGTTTTTTCCCTAGGTCACAGGCCTTGCCACAAGGCCTCTTCTAGCCGTCGATCAGGACATGTGCTGGCGCGATTGCTTTCCTCTCTGTATATGCACGTGTTTGTAATGCTTGAGAGGTTGAGCAGATGATAAAATGCCAGGAACAAGCGCAAACAGGCAACCGTGCCCAATTGATTGCACAAGCTGAAGCGCCACGGAACGCCGTGTGTGACTCCTACGTCGTGAACGCCGTGTGCATTTCCCCCCAACATGGGATCGAGTCAAATTAGCGAAGAAGCTGGCCGAGCGCGGCAAGCGGGATGGAGCTCGTCCACCTATGCCCTCTCTTGAGAATAGTGCCGAGAAACCTAATCTGGGCGACACTCTTTGTCTAGGGCTGCATAAAGTTGTCTTCAGCATGTCGAGGAGATGTTTTTTACGCTAGCCGCTGGGACAAATTTGACCTGACGAAATCGAGCCGAAGGCAGAGATTTGTCGAGATCCCTTGATAGCCGCCGCGCTCAGACATCACGCTTTTTTTTCGCTTGTGCGGCATCGCCGTCTCGGGTATGTTTACGTTCATTGGCTCATCTGTTTAATGCAACCGTGCTACTCCAAGAATTACGTGACAGCTTCTAGGTGATGCTGCGAGGCCTCTTCACTGTGGCGTGCAGCCTGACGGCTTTGGGCACGGCTGCCTTTGTCCCTCCCAGTAGATCTTCGTTCATCTTTCCAACTAGACAGCAGCTGCAGCAGCAGCAAACCACGGGCAGGGTCATGGCTTTGTACGCGACTAACACTCCGTCCTTGTCTACATTAGACCGGCGCGCGCTCCTCTTTAAGTCGGCGGGGTCATTGCTGGGCTTGGTGGGCCTGAGTCTTGCGCGCCCGGCAGAGGCCGTAGAAGAGGTGCCCCTTGTGCGAGACAAGCAAGGAGGATTACTGGAGCCGTACACCGATATTGCAAAAGTGAGTGAATGGAAATAGAAGCGATCGACGTTCACTTGAAAGAGGCTCGAATCCATGTTATCAAGAGTGAAGACCTCGAGGGTAATGAAAGTTAGGGACGTGCAGGCAAGAAAACGGTGCATCTGTCCTGGGTAGAACAAGCAGAGGGAGATGGGATAATGCTTGAAACGTCGTGAGATGACAGGAGATACCATCTTTTGCAAAGGAAAGGGGAAACAGACGGGGAGGGGCTCGGAACGTCTGAAGGGGCGCGGCGCGACACTGCCTGGCACTTCTGCCCCACACTCCCCCCTCACACTCACTTGCACGCGTCTTTTCTTCCACAGGGGCTCAAGCTTTCCCGGCCCTCGGGCTGGAATCAGTTTGAAGGCACGCCCGAGACCTACGTGGTGAAGTGGAGCGACATCATCAACCGAGACGAGGTGGTGGTCCTCAACTCGACCCCTGTGAAGGCCTCTACCACGGCCGTCGACGCTCTGGGCGACGTGCAGGACGTGGGGAAGAAGCTGGCCGCGGGCCGAGGTGCCGAGCTTGTGGAAGCAAAGGCGCGCCTGACGGAGGGCGTCCTCTTCTATGAGTTTGAATTCAAGGGCGAGGCTGTCTCTGAAGTCGCTTGCCTGTGCGTCGCCAAGGGCCGGCTATGGAATCTTAGCGCCACGAGTGCCACCAAACGGTGGCCCAAGCGTCGCGACCTGCTTAAGGGCGTCATTGGCTCTTTCTTGCCCAAACTCTGATGGGTATAGCGTGTAGGAGGAGCCAGGTTGCCAGGCCTGGTGGCTGTGATCCGGTAAGCAGGAGTCCCCTCCCGCCCTGTTCTTCCTGAGCATCGTTTTAGTTGCGTTGAATTGCACGCGATGTTTGTTCACGCATTGGAGACAATGCGTTTCTCATGCATTGGTAGACTCCACAAAGGTCATTGCAGCCAGCATGGACCGAAAAAGAGTTGAGAAAATAAAAAGGATTGAAAAAGTAAAATCGCTAGCTTTGGATGCATATATGATAATTTGCCCCCCGACATGCCGGTTCCGTGCCCGGAAACAGCCTCCAATATACGTATAAGACATGCATAAATTCCCCTCCCAAAACACGTGTAGGCTCTCTCTCCCGCCGCTCTCCGAGACCTCTTCCCCTCAAGCAGTTCCTCTGTCCCACTCCTTTCCCCCCCATATCTGCCAAAGGGCCGGATCGACTTTCCCTTACCAGGTTAACATCCCTTTTTAAGACTTGTGCCCACATCGAGCTCAGCATTCTGCCATTCATCCATGATAAAGATGCTCAAAAGGGAGCGAATATAGTTTACTGCGGGCCATGTGGCACACAAGTCCCGCCTCCCTCTCCCAGCAAATGCGAGGCGCACGGGTTTCCATCAAATCCCCATCTCAGCCCCTACTTCGACTGTCCTGCCTGCGTTGAGCTTTCCCCACGGAGCAGACGTCTGCACTGCGCAAGTGAGCTGACTATTTTCTGAAGAATTTGGCAGCCAAAAAAGAAAGGGAGGCTAGCGCTACTCCTCCTACCAAAGTGACGGCTGTTTGCGAGCGCCAGAAAGAAATGCCGTCGTGAGCCCGGCTGGCGGACCCGGTGGCGGCGCCCTTGAAGACGCCCCTGAGGACGTTACCGTGGTTCAG